GATTCGGATGCTCGTAGTCTACAAACCACATGTTGGAATCGTCCAGAAGTCGTTCTTCCAGAATTGAACGTTTATCTTCCGCCCCGTCCGGTCTGGGCTCGTTATACACGCGAAGTGTGAAGCCAGTATGCTGACCATCGACTGTTCGGAGCCTCTTCCCAAGAAGTGGCAGAGACTGGTGGCCGTAGACACCCTGAGAAAACTCAACGTTCGATGTGAAACCGCAAATCCCTTCGAGTGGAGTCACGGTGCGGTATCCCCTAAGTGATGCGCTGCCGCCACCGCAATATGTAGCGATGTTGGCATTGGGTCCAATCACGGCAATGCGCTTTGCTGGGTTCAGGGGCAGGATGTTTCTCTCGTTCTTCAGCAAAACGATGGACTTTGCTGCCGCCTCGCGAAGCAGCTGCACGTGCTCGGGAGTATTTGCCTCGCTTTCGGGGGCATTCGTAGGAATGGTGGTGTTTTCGACAGCGTGTTTGATCAACTTGAGAATATTTCGTACGCGTTCATCGAGGTCTCGACGCTTCACCTTGTTTGCCGTAACAGCGTGGACGAGAGCCTCTTCACGCCAGCGGCTCGGGCCCGGCATCTCGAGGTCTTGCCCTGCTGTGACTGCGGAGGATGTGCTATAGGTTCCGTACCAGTCGCTCATGATGAGACCATCCCACTTCCACTCATCGCGGAGGATATCTTGGAGCAGGCGGCGGTTCTCAGGCGCGTGGCTGCCGTTGATCTTGTTATATGCCGTCATGATCGCTCTTGGCTTTGCCATTTCAATGGCGATCATGAATGGGAGAAGGTATACCTCGCGTAAAGCCCGCTCTGTCACCTGGACATCAACTGCCATCCTTTCGCTTTCCATGTCGTTGCAAACAAAGTGCTTCAGCGTCGCCGATACGCCAGAGGCCTGGACACCGCGGACGTAGTGCCCTGCTATGATGCCGGAAAGCACGGGGTCTTCGGAGAAAGACTCGAAACCTCTGCCACCAAGGGGCCCTCGTTGGATGTTGACTGTCGGGCCAAGCAGAACGTGGGCTCCCTTGGCATGCGCCTCCTCAGCAAGCAGGTGGCCTACACGCTCCACCAGGTCTATGTCAAAAGTTGCGCCCAGGGCAGTACCGCATGGCAGACATGCCGAGGGGGTGCTGTCGAAGAAATGGGTTCCACGGACGCCATTGGGACCATCGGATAGACGTATCGAGGGTATAGAGAGACGATCGATCGCTGTTGTGTGCCACCAACCCGTGCCTGTTATGCCGAAGTTAGCGAGCTGCGTGGCATCAGGCCGTACGACACTTTGCAGGCATATTTACCAGCAGTCAGCTGCACTTTCTCCTCCAAAGTGAGCTGCTCAATTAGTCTTTCAACGTCCATGATGCGGGCCATTGGGAATCAGGGCAGACGGTAGTTTGGTAAATGGAGAGAAACCCAGCATCTGCAACTTGGACAGATCATCCTTGAGGTCGTGCGCGTCGTCCCGAAGGAGAACTTATATGCCGCCTGCCGGTCGATCAACTCATGTACGTCATGTTACAGCAAGAAGACTAGAGGTGGATAATCGTAGGAGAATACCATGGCTTACGTCTGATCTTCGTGTCAAGGCGGCGATATCGCGCGTGGAGTGTCGACGGCGGAGAATTCGAGTCAGGGGTCAAATACTTGCCAACCGAGTTGCTTGCCCAATTCTCCGACTCGGCATTTCTGCGCTGAATTTCTGATAACGACTTGACGAGATGCCTGTCACTTCTCCGCAATGTCTAATCCATCAGACAGCTCCGCCTTGAACAACGACATTATTGATCCGTTGGAATCCCATTAGAGTGGTCCTCGTCCGTAAGAATACTCTCCGCCATTGCCTGCCATGTGGTGATTCTCCGCTTCGATAACTCTGACTTCCCTGGAAGCCCCGCTCCCCAGACCGCCGGCTGGCTGGACCCCCTTGCCCCCCCCGGACAGCCCCAACATGCGTCTCCATGGGGAACGACTCATTCTTGGTAAGGGGGAATATCGAAATCGTGGAGCAGGCTTCGTGGCTGGAAAGAGTCCTGAGCGCAAGGAAACTTGTGCACACCATCACCGGGCTTGGATTGCAAAGCCAAGGATTAGTATCTACATAAATCCGCCCTCCATCCCCCCTGAAACTGAACATGCATCTTGTTGCTACCATTATCGCTTTTTGACAAGAATTACCTCTCACCTTCGGCTACTTCCACTCATAATTAAGCTATTCAACCTCTGCCCAGTCACCATGACTGCCCATACCGTTGAACTGGCAAATGTGCCCAAGAACGACAAACCTTGGTGGAAACAAAGGCATCTGATCAGGCTCAATTGGCACATCATCTCCCTTGTCATGTTCTGTAAGACATTGTTGCTCACTAACACTTAGACTTGATGAATTCAGCTGACACTTTCTGAACAGCCTCTGCCAACGGATACGATGGCTCGGTCATGAGCGGCATCCTGGCCCTTGATACCTGGAACAGTTTCATGAACTTCCCTCGCGGCACATACTTGGGGTGGATAACTGCCATTTACTGGCCTCGGCAACCGCGTTGCCTTTCCTGTGGCCGCTTGGGTGTCCAACCGCTGGGGTCGCAAACTCGGCATCTACTTTGGCTACTTCTTCCTCATCATCGGAGTTGGTCTGCAGGCGGGAGCCCCGAACGAGAAAACCTTTACCCTCTCGCGACTCGTCATCGGCCTCGCCTCGGGCTGGCTTGGCAACTCGTCACCACTGCTTGTCAACGAGATTGCTCACCCCAAGCAGCGGTCCATCGCCAATGCCTTGTACATGTGCGGTTGGTATGTCGGCGGCACCATCTGCGGCTGGGTCACCTTGCCTGCCGCAACATCCCCAGCGATTGGTCGTGGCGTATTCCTGTTCTCCTGCAGGCCCTGATTCCTCTGCTCGCTCTACCTGGCTTCCTGATGTCGCCCGAGAGCCCTCGCTGGCTCATTAGTGTTGGACGTGTCGATGAAGCGGCCGATCTGCTCGCAAAACACCACGCTGGTGGCAACAGGGACGACCCGCTCGTCGTATACCAACTAAGCGAGATTGAAACGACTATTACGGCCGAGAAGGAGGCTTCCTCCAGCGCATCGTATGCGGACATGGTCAAGACGCCCGGGAATAGGCACCGCCTATTCATCTCCGTTACGCTGGGTTTCTTCGCGCAGTGGGCTGGCAATGGCGTCGTGTCGTACTATCTGCCCCTTGTGCTTGACTCGGTAGGCGTTAAGACGGTCACCGAGCAGACCCTGATCTCGGCGTGTCTCAATGTCTGGAATCTCGGCTGGGCTGTCGCCGCCGCTATGAACGTTGATCGCCTGGGCCGCCGCTTCCTGTTCATGAGCTCCGGGGTCACCATGCTGACGAGTTTCATCATCGTCACAGGCCTCAGCGGTGCATTTGCGAGCTCCGCATCTTCGTCCGTCGGCATGGCTGTCATTCCGTTCCTGTTCTTGTTCTTCGCCGGTTACGACATTGCCCTGTAAGTCATCGCCTGCAGCCTCTTTCAAATAGAACATTGCCTGACGTTGTGTGATTCTTCTAGAACCCCTTTCCTCACGGCGTATCCATGCGAGATTTGGCAGTTCAGCCTGCGCTCGCGCGGCCTCACCGTGGCTTGGTGCACAACTGTGGCGTCCATTTTCCTCAACACGTTCGTCAATGCGATCGCCCTGGATGCTATTGGCTGGAAGTACTACTTTGTCTTCATCGTCGTGCTATCGCTCATGATCATCACCGTCTTCTTCGGGTACCCTGAGACGCGAGGATACACTCTCGAGCAGATGGCCATAGTCTTTGATGGGGTTGATGCGCCAGTCAACTCCTCGAATCTGATGGAAAAGAACGCTGCGGTAAGCCACGTTGCCGATGCGGACCAACAAGGCTCCGCCAAGCACAGTAAGGTGTAATGGTGGTGGTGAGTCAAAGTGGCCACAGTCGCCCCTATGGCTATTTTGGTAGCTCTAAAGGTCGATGGGCATTCTCAGTATTCTCAGTGGGTTGTGTGGGAGCTGGAATAGTTGCACTATTGCAAGACTGTTTCTCTGTTGCTTCCGTTCCAGTGCCTCCTTGATCGGTAGCTTGCTGCATGCTTGAGCTTTTACCAGAGCTTGATGTCTCTCCCCATCGCTCCGACACCCAGTGCAAGTCTCTCTCGTGCCAGTCTGGCATGTACAACCACCTTTCCAGGTCGGAACTCCATCCCCTGTTCGGGAGGTAGGACTCGAGCATGTAATAATTGTCCCTATGGAACGGAAAGTCCATCGTTGGCGGCCCGCTGCGCTGCAGGAACTCGTCCGTGCCGGACATTTCGTCCTCCTTCGCCATTCTGAACCGCCGCCGCCGGTTGCCCTGGTTGGCAGCGTGGCGGCGGATAGATCTTGTTGTAGAGTTGAGGTGTACTTCCAGCACACGGGCGTACCACAGAGGTGAGATCAAGGCTCTCTGAACGATTTTGGCGTTCTCGGCGACGAGATCCTCGTTCCAGACGGGGAACTTGCCGCGGGGGATCATGGGGATGGGCGTGCCCGAGTCAAGGTTCGGCTGCCAGTGCGCAAAGTCGACCACCAAACAGAGAGAGTTCCAGCGCAGGATGCAGGTGAGACACGTGCAGATGCACGTTGGGTCGGCGGGCAGAACGTGCTGGAACTTTTTGTGGATGCCCATGCCGCCTTGACGTTCGGGGTGAAGCAGTGCTGGGTGGATGGAAGGATCAATGTCCTTCATCAGGGCTGGCAGCCTGAGACATGGCTCAAGACAAGCATATCGGCGGGCGATGACTTCCTTGACAAAGACAGATTCCCAGGTACGCAGGTATTCACGCATGGATGTGCAGGTCTGCTGTAGACGAAGGAGATCGCTGGGCCGAAGGTTTGCGAAGATGCTCAGGAGGAGTTCGTCCGGGAGCGGGAAGAGGCCAGTACCGATGCTTTTTGGTGGGCGTTTGCTGGCCTTTTTCTCAAGCCTCTTTCGCTGTCTCTCAGTCCGTTTCGACCGGATCGTGAGGTTGCCGTCGGCGGCGACTCGTTCTGAGCTAATCACAGGAGGCGGCGGACCAGGGACCATATGAAACTCGTGGGCAGAGTCCGATCCCTCACCGTCGAGTGTCATGTCGTCCAGATCTTGCGATAAGTCACCATTTGTGAGTACCGTGGACCCATGCTCCGATGCTGAATGGCCAGGATGAGAGGCGGTCTCTTCTGTCGCCGGTACTGAGATTGTGGCCGGGAGTTCCGGAGCCAACATATCTACAAGAGCGAATGAAGTAGATGCCTCTTTCGTCATATTAACTGCCTTGAAGTCGGATCAGAGGGCAGCCAAAGCGGGTTGACGAAACGACAAAACGACGCGAGGTATGAAGCTGGGCTCTTGAGGTTCAATTGCCACCGCATTCCATCATCGAATTGGTTCGAGAATGGTGGGGTCGATTCCGCCAATCATTCTCTGCTATTCCGGCAGCTGGTCCCAGCTTCAACCAAGATCGACGACAGCTGGCAGCAGCCATGAGGAGATGAAGGCAAGGTATCAAGACTCCAACAACTTCACTCGTCTCTCACGCAGAAAGCATCATATGGCTGGCTGCGTGCGGAATATAACGTTGCGCAATGGATCGTTCTGTGCTCAAATATTCTGCAATCCCCTCATCATCTTTTAGTTTCCTCAGCCATGATCTATCGTCATTCAAGGCAGAGAGGCTGCCAGCAAGTCCTGGCCACCACGAAAGTTCGCTGAGGTATTCTTGTCTGATCAAAACCCAGGAAACCGCAAGAAGCTCCCAATCTTCACATCGCAAGGGTCACGCCCAAAGAAAAGATCGTAAACAAGCCCACTGCTGCCTGGGCCCATGTGCTCCGTCTCGATCGCCATGCGCGCCGTTTGCGCCTGACAGCGATAACTCCCAAATCTGTACTCAACGATTCCAACATCCTCAGTGCGATACACATCAATGACACCGTCAACCTGATACTGGAATTTTGCGTCGAAATACCGTGTTAGCTCACGGCCATTCACAAAACTCGGATGCCCTTCAATGATGAGCACACGGCTCCGATCCCCAGCGTGCGGCTGCGCGCCGACTTGGATGCGATTTCGC